GCTCCAGCGTCTCCGCGTCAAGAATCTGCATATACCGTTCGCGAACATGCTGGCAGAGAGGAAACAGATCACCACATTCAAGAGTAGCGTTATCAATATATTCAGAAAGCTGGGGACCACAGACCAGAGCATCATCGATCACCTTAACACTCTGTAGCCGATAGACACGGGGAGCTGCCATGGACCAGTCACGACACTCCTCATACGTGCTGGCAACCCGTAATGCGATACGTCGACGTGCACGTGTCGCCACAAAACGCACGCAAGTTCTGGTCCAACCCATACGCAAAGCACTCTCATCAGCAGCAGGAGGCGCAAGGAAGAGCCTATCCAGCTCATCAACAGACTCGGGGGACTTGGCTAGCCACAGCGGGATGTTCTTGCACTCAATCTGGTCGGGGGTGTACATCGAGATATTCGACGCGACGTGGACGCGGTCCGAATGCATACCAATTCTGAGACGGCCGATCGTAGATGTTGCAGTAGTCATATTAGCAAGAATCGCGCTAGGCAGCGAGCAGTAAATACGATCCACTCGCGCGGTGCGATCAATCACGGCATCTACAATAGCCCTACGTGTCCATATCTCGATAGAACTCGATGGGATCGGGCAGGATGCCGCTGAAAGCCTGAGCGCGCCTACGACCCCCTGGGCCCCAGAGCCCACCATAACCTCCTTGGCGCCCCTCACCCTCCAGAGTCAAGTTCCAAACCCGAAGAAGGATAATAAAGTGCCCAGCAGACATCGGGGCCTCACGGCGGAGAACGCGAAGAACAGTTAGGCAAATTTTGATGCTATCAGACGCGTGAAGCACGTGGACGTTCACAGTGCTACACTGGCCGCGAGGGCCCGTCATCTCAGTCAAGAGCACCCGGCCATCAATCAGAGGCCGATGATCAATCTTTGAAAATTTGAGCGCAAATTTCTTGCTGACTGCGGTGATCAGACCGCCGGTGCCAGCACTATCAAGGAAGAACGCGTAGCCGAAGCGAGATGATCAATACCACCTGGGTGACCGTGGGTTTCCTGGGTAGCAACAATATCCTGGGATTGAGAAAGGCGCTCGAACATGCGCACGTTCTTCTGAGCACGACCCTGACGCAGACAGCGCATGGACATGAGCATGCCACCAGCATTCCAAGAACAGACTCACGACCCGACAACTCGCACGGCGCTGCGTGACTTGATGGAACAGGGACAGACGGCAACATATCTGAAAGAAGCGGCGGCGCGGCAGGCTCAGCATGCACAGCTGAATCTTGGCGGGATGCAAATGGGGGGATAAGTCCAGGGGGGTGAGAGGCGCAACCGAGGCACAAATTGCACCTACGCCCCACGGAGAAGGTACAAGTTGCCCCGACGCCACGCAGACAAGGTACAAATTGCACTTTTGACAACGTCCGCGACATGCGCGAGGATGTTAACGGGGGGGAGACGATACAAATTGCACTTGCAACCCGCAGAGAACGAACAAATTGCACCAACAAAACGGCACCGAATACTCATCCCCGCATGTCCTGATCCCCCCATCGCCATCCGGCCGATGAACCGCGCGCATCGCCACCGATGCCGCTCCCAAAGTTCAGCCGGCACTGCGCCTCCGAAAAGCTTGTCGCGGGCATCCGCTGCACCCCATCCTAGAGGCACGACTGATTCTTAACAGCAATGTCGATGATGAGATCAGTCTCCGCATCACTGAACTTCCACTGATACAACTTTTCACGATTCGGCCCAATCACGAACTGGCCGCCCTCCGTCTTCAGCGTGAGAAGGGCCCGCGAGCCCGCGTCTGTTGAAACTTGAAAACGGCCTGAACCACACCCAGAACACCCCATCCAAATAGGGAACCGCCCCAGAAGCCTTTGCTCGTGAGCTCTACCTTCATCGGCCCCCACAAACACGAAAACGCGTTCTTCCCCACGCGCGCGGGCAACGGAATATCACCACGAACGCGAATCGGAAAATTCGTGGCACGATCACGATAGTCATTCCACATCGAGGGCGCAGCGAAGGAAGGCCCACTGCTTAAAACGGGCCGCCGCCTCCTCAGACTCGAAGATCACTGAATGCGAACGACTCGCACGTTGGAACGAGTGTTCTACATATGCTACCATATCCTGCGGGACCTGCGTCTTGCACCACTCACAGCGTTCTTCGCGGTACTGCGAGAGTACCTCACGCGGCCAGCCACCAATCCAGATGCGGCAGGGGTTGTGCTGGTCCTTCTCGTTGTGCCGCAGCGGGTCTGCGAACATCTCGGACGACCCGTGAACTGCTGGACGCCTACGAGAGCTGCTACCATCCGTACTCGCAGATGTCGACGGCGTTCGTGAAATCGTCGCAAGCTGCCCCTGGATGCTTTGAAACTGAGCCTCCATCTTTCCTCGATCTCAGCCAGGGATGAGGGGGCACCTTCTTTGCTGTCGCGCCAGCTGCTGCCATCGTCGACCATGATCGAAGAGCCCGTTACCTGTTGGAACCGCTCCTCCCAGCTGGCCGAGAAAGTGCTGACCAAACTTTGCATCTCCTGGACTGATGTCACTCGTAGGGCCTGCAGGCCCTGCATCTGTAACTCCAACGCGCCCGCCCGAGCGTCGGCGGCTCCGATCGCCGTGAGCAACTCAGACTTCATCGACCCAATCGCAGCCAGAACCTCAGCCGAGCCCGACATCACGGCCGAGGGGGAGACTGGGGTAATCCGAGAAATTGTTCTCACACCTGAAAGCCGCGCGCTCTGGCGCACGACTGGAGGAGATAGCGAGGCCCAACCTCGGGACGCTCGGGCCAACCCTTTGAGCCAAATGGCTACGGATTGATCTGCTGCGACAACTGGTAATCTTCCTGAGCGCCCCAATGCGTGGCGCTGAACCCACACACATGTCGGCAGTGCTCGTGGTGGCCCTCTATGCACAGGCCCTGTCGCTGCAGATTGCTCATGCACCAGCTCGCGGTCCTGGGGCCCGGCAGCGTCCAAACGCCACCAATCCCTCCTGCCGGGTCATCTCCACCATGCGGCTTCAAGGCAGGTCACGATGCCCTTTGGCGTCCATCTGGACGGGCAAGGCGCAGGCACCCGCATCCACCGCCCCGCGCAGGAACGCCTCCAGCGCCGCTGGGGGCACCACCTCGACGAACAGCGCCTCCCAGTTAGGCAGGATGTGCATGCCACGGTTGTCCACCCTCGCCGCCGTGGGGACATGGCCAAGAACCTCGTCGCCGATGCGGAAGCCGCCCTCGCACACCACCAAGAACCGTACCCCCGCGGAGTCAGCCGGGGCCCGAGCGCCAGCGGCGGGCGACGCCCACCGCAGCACGCCAAAGGAAGAGCCAGCAGCAGCGCACCAAGCCCCCCGCCGCCAGGCACGATGAGAGCCCACCGCGATTTGTTTCGCCTCGGCTGTGACCTGGGCAATGTCGGCGGCCGTCAGCTCAGCGCGGAACCGACGCACCTGGTTGCCCGCGAACCCCGGCGGCGACGGATCGAAGGCACCAAACCAAGCCGCCTGAACATCCGCAGCGTTGGTGGACACGACACACAAATCATCATCGGCAGCGCACGCAAATCACGAAATGAACCCCTGAGAACGCCACCCGACCCGGTTTCAAGTGCTGGTGCCATACCGCCTCGCCTGCGCAGAAGACGTACACCCACCTGATCATCGCCGCCGCTGCCATCGATCGCCTCGACGGCGGGCGGTGGCCGAGCGTCGCGACGAAGCGCCGAGCAGCAGCAAACCACACACGCGGCGGTCGCCAGGCAGCCCAGCGAGGCGCCAAGCAGCCCGAACCCCAGGGCCCGCACGTCGCGACCCACGTCGTTCACCAAGGAGCGACTGGCCCCCAGCTCGGCCGCGCCACGGGCCGCCGACTGCTCCGCGGGTGCCCTGGCCCCCGCAGTCTCGGGCCCTGCACACGCGGCGCACGCTGGGCAGGCGGGTGCTGGGCAAGAGGCAGGGGACCGGCAAATGGGCACCTCAGCCCGCTCGCACGGCGGGATCGCCGCAAACTGCAGCGAGCACACGGGGCAGGCCGCCGAGGGTAGGCACGCAAGGGAGCAGTTCGGACACACGGGGCACGATGGTTGTGAGGGGCAGCAGGAGACGTACGAAACAACGCCTTCCTCGAAGTGGTCTGTGCTTATGCCACACACTGAAAACTTAACCGCCCACAAAGCGGCGGTGGGTACCCACACACACACACACACACACACACACACACACACACACACACACACACACACACGCATCAGGAAACCCGTGAAATCGCGACGACGACGACGACGACGACGACGACGACGACGATGATGATGATGATGATGATAATGATAATGATGGTGATGATAATGATGATGATGATGATGATGATGAGGATGATGATGCTGCTGTTGGTGATGATGATGAGGGTGATGCTGATGATGATGATGATGATGATGGTGATGATGTTGATGATGATGCTGCTAATAAACCTCATGGTGATGATGTGATGATGGTATGGTGGTGATGATGATATTGATACTGATGCTGATGCTGATGCTGCTGCTGATGCTGATGATGAGGATGATGCTGGTGATGCAGATGTTGATGATGATGATGCTAAAGCTGATGTTGATGGCGAATATGATGATGATGATGATGGTGATGATGATGACGACGATGATGATGACGATGATGCTGATGATGATGATGACGACGACGACGATGATGATGATGATGATGGTGATGATGATGATGCTGATGCTGCTGCTGATGCTGATGCTGATGCTGATGCTGATGCTGCTCAGGAGGATGATGCTGGTGACGCTGATGATGATAATGATGAGGATGCTGCTGATGCTGATGGCGATGTTGAGTATGATGACGGTGATGATGATGACGATGATGATCATGATGACGATGGTGATGATGATGCTGGGGGTGATGATGGTGGTGGTGGTGATGAGATCGTAGCGATGACGACAGCAGAAACTGCAAGAGTGAAGAGGAAAAGAAAGAGGAGCGGCCTTGCGCAACATCTCCATGGGGAGACGCAGGGGCGCGAAGGCGTAGCCCTGCCCCACATCTCCCCAGCCAGAGCGCACTCTCCGCGCGGGTCCCTTCCGCAGTCCCCGATTCTACGCAATGAAATGTGCACCCGGCCGCCGCCTGCCCCGCTCCTCCCCCTCCTCCGCGCCCTACCCGCGGAGCCGAACGCCAAACTGTGGCCGCCTCGCCCGCTCCAACAAGGAGAGGCGGAGGCGAGGGTGCCTGAGGTGGAGGATGCCATCTATGCACGCGCGCCGACCATGACCAGGCGAATTTTGGGCCGACGGTGCGCCACCACTGTTGGCGCACGTTCGGCCAGCAATGCGTACACACCGATCGTGAGCTCAGGATTGGCCTGGCCAGGATCGGTGCATGTGTATGGTTGGCGTTCCACGAGGGCTGGGGATTGGCACTTTGCCCCCGCATCCCTCACCCAAAACAGCAAAAACAGAGCGGAGGAGGAGCAGCGGCAGCTGCACGAAGAGGAGGAGGTGAAGCAGGAACCAGATGGAGCAGGAGCGGGAAGGAGCAGAAGCCAGAGCAGGAGCAGGAGCAAGAGCAGGGTGCAGGAGCCGTTGCAGGAGCAGGGGCTGGAGCGGGAGCAGCGGCAGGGGGAAGCAGCGCCAGCAAGAAGAAGAGCAGGCGCACGAACATCAAGCAAGAGCAGAGGCCAAGGGCCGTGTCCTCTAGCCGTTTTGTGGGTGACGACGCCTACCGGGCCGCCCTGCAGCTGACTTCCCACACATCCTCGCGCCCTGCCTCCCCCTCCGCCCCCTCCTCTTTCCTCGCTCCTGCCTCCTCCCCACTCCACGTGCCATGGACGGATACCACGCATCACGCCTATCCCCAAGCCACTGGGACAGCAGCTGGCTGGGCCCGAAGAAAACGAAACCCTCGAAAGTTTCCGCCCCCATTGCGGAAACGGTGCGTGGTCTGTCTGGAAGACCTCGCCTCAAGAAGATCACTGCGATGGGAATCCCTGGGGCAGTAAGATCGCACCACCACCCTTTTGCGTCGAGAATCGGTTTCGTGGGTCCCTAGGGCCAGGCTTTAAAACGCACGGTTTCGCCAGCTGTTGCCAGGGGTTCGAGTGGCGTCGCCCGAATGCGGACGGGGCTGAACTCGATGGGCCATGAGACTCAAAAGATCATGCACGGAAGCGATAACGTCCATAGCAACCCTCGGGGCAACGAAAGAAGGTCCGACCATGAGGCGGAAGCTGCACGAGAGCGTCTCGGATTGTCGCTGAGGCGCTTCTCCAGCGGTTGGAACCCCTACCACCGCATGCCAGCAGACGATGCCACCACCGACGCGCGGATGGTAGCCTGCGTCCCGCACGCCTACCGCGGGCCCGAGATGATCTTCACCGACATAGGCATCCAGGACGGGTGGATACGTTGGGGGCGGCGCGACGCAGCGGCGGAAGCGCGCGAGGCAGCATGGCGGCGCGGCCCCCGCGCCCGCGCGCACAAGGCAAAACGAGCTCGCGATCGCCTTCGGGGACCGCGACTCCGACGGTCGGCGGGCAGCCGCGGCACGGGCACGCTGCGCACGCGGAGACACCTCGCGGCTCCTGCACGGCCGAGCCCAGCCCCGCCATGCCTCCTGGCCAACTGGGCTGACAAGGCAAAGGCGACAGCGGAAACAGAAGCCGCCGTCTCGCAGCAAAGCGCGGCCGCGGCTTCGGTCCTCAAGCACGGCGCGGGCCGCCTGCGCGCCCGCGCGAAGATGCGATTGCCTTCTCGCCTTTTCGCTTCCGACGGGCTCTCGAGGGTTCAAGACGGCTGCGAGATGGCCCGAGCGAAGCTCGGGAGCTGCCCAGGGGCGGCCCCAGACGGCCCCAAAAGCGCCCCAGGAGGGCCCCAACGGGAATTTCTTCGGCCCCCGAGGGGGAGGGCGCAATTGGCGACCCCCCTCTTTGATCGATGACCTCGACGGCCGCAAGTTGCCCCCTCAAAGCCCCCAACAGAGCCCAACGTGGCCCTACGAGTGGCCCAAGAGAACCCAAAATGCAACCAAAAAGGCCTCAAGGCGGCTCCAAGCGGGCGAAAGCCTCGAGATGCTTCGAGGAGGTCCCCAGGGCGCGACTGCACGCTGCCGCGCATCCCTGGCCGGGGCAACTCTCCCGGTGATTATTTCCAGATGGGCTGGTAGGAATACGCGGAGCCTCTCGAATATGCCAGATGGCTCGCGTCGCAGATTCGCCCCTGGAGCTCATCGCCCCCCGCCCACGCGAGACGCCGCGCTGCACTCTCTCGAAGAGGCATCAGCAAAGGATTGCTTCAAACACGGACGCGCGACGGACTTCCACGACTTCCCCTGGGGGCGACGTCCCACTCCTCTCCTCCGGGCCTGCTGGCGGCGGGCGCGGGCCTCGTCTCAGGCCTCGTCGCCGCCCTCCAAAGCGGCCCCGCTGCTCTCCCTGGACGTGGCCCCCGAGTCGCAGTCGAGGGACTTCCAAGTCGTCTTCCCGTTGTGCCAGACTGGTGGAGCACCCCTCGGGAACCGCGCCACTAGCCCGGCGGTTACTTCTGCTGCCATGCAGGCTGCATGGGCCTGTCGGTCCCCCGGTTATCTGTCTCGGTGGCTGTTCGAAATTATGGCCCTCTGCTACGCCATGGCCCTCGCCTCGGTCGGTCTGCCCAGTCGGTCTGCCGATGCTGTCGGTCGGCCTTCAGCTGGTCCGTTGCTGCTCAGTCGGTCTGGTGGACTGGCCAGGTGCTGGTCGCAGTGGTGGTGCTGCTGACTGGCCGGTGCTGGTCTGAGCTGGTCGACGCTCGGTCGGCGCCGGTCCGTGCTCGTCCACGCTGGTCGGTGCTGGTCTCTGCGCGCCTGCGCATCGTCGGTGACCTTCGCGATGACCACGCCATGTCGTAGTCGGACAGCAGGCGATGTCATGAAAGCACGAGAAGAACCCATTAGCAACGAGACGCCCCGCGCCAGGCACGCCCTCATGACAGCGAGCAGAGCATAGCCGTGCTGCTGCGGTCTCCGCAACTGGAGCCGCAGGGCGCAGGGCTGGCCCGCCCGCCCCGTCAAGCGCGCCTCCTTCTGGCCCTAACCACGTTGTCAGCTCCTGACTCGGGTGGCGGAGGGCGGCGCCGGTGCGAATGCTTGTCGCCGGCGCGCTGCTTAGAGATGCTGCCGCACTCGTAGCAGAAGTAGTCTCGCTCGCGTCGACGGCACTGCGCTCGCTGGGAGAAGTGCGCGCATCGGCCCTTCAGCGCGAGCAAGTGGTGCTCTGCGTTGGACGTCCCGCTGCAACTTGCTTGAAGCAACCATCGCGCCATTACGCTTCTGTGTCTGGTAGCTGTCCGTGAGCACGCTGCACATTCCCACCCCGTGGTGGTTTGTCGTAGTTGGCGGCGGCTGGTTGCTGCAAGCTGGCCCAGAGTCTGGGTCGGCGGTCGCTGCCACGCTGCGCCCCGCCGAATCTTTGCGCGCCCCCCCATGTCATTGGCGGGTTCCGTTCCAGGCTGCCCACCGCGGCTCGCGCATTGCGCTATCGTGTCACATTGCCCACTGCCCGCACCCTGTCGTAGCATCCAAGCTGCGCTGCCTTCTAGCGCGTGCTCGTCGGCGGCTCGATCCGCTCGTAGGTATGCTTCTCCGTTCCCGAGCAATGCCCATTCAGGCACATCCCGTTGTCTCGCGCCATCCCATTCCAAGTGGCTCTGCATATCTCGCAACGCGGCGCTGCTGGCGCTGTCACCTCGTTGCGCGATGGCCTAGTTCATCAGTTCCCACATGTACCCATTGCCTCCGTTGAATCTCTGCGCGCGAGGCAATCCGCAGCGCAGCGCAGCTGAATCGGCCCCAGATAGCAGGGGTCCTCTAGAACTCTGGAGCATGCCCAGAAGTGCCCACATTTCCGCTCGGTTCTTGGTTTGCCTCGGCCCAAATAATGGCCCCCGCGCTGCTGCTCGCACTTCTACCCCTCGCACGCATGCCCATCCCCATCCGCGCAAGCGGCGCCGTCGGTCGCTGGACATCGCTCCTCCGCTGCCGTCGCCACAGGAGCGCAGCGGCGCCGCACTCGCGGCGAGCTAGTCGGCGCCGCGCGTCGCCTTCTTCGGCGCCGGAAAGCTCGGCTGCGCAAGGCGGCGGGCAGGTCGCGGGCTCGGGCGCGATCCCACTGCGAAAGCTCTAGTAGGCACGCAACTGGAGGACCTTCTGCGGGCGCGACCCAAACCCCGCGATGGGCGGCCCGACCCCCGCGAGCCGCCCGCGGCCAAGGGCGGGTTTCCCGCGCGCGCTGCGCGAGCACATCTGAAAACAAGCGCGCTTTCGAAATCTCCCCGCGGCGGCGGGGCGGCAAGCGGGCCACGCCCCGACGCATCAGACGCACGAGCGGACCGATGGGCCGAACAGGAAACCTCTCACATTTGCCGGCTCCCCCCGCGCCCGCCGCGTCAAAAAAAAAAAAACGGCGCTGCCAGGGCCCCCCCGAATGGGGGGGCGGGCGCGGGGGCGCGGGGGAAAGAGGAGGGGGGGGGGCAGAGGGGGGGCAAAAAAAAAGGAAACACCAACAAAAAAAACTCGCACATGCTGCAGGAAAACATTGAGAAAACGAGGGACCCCCCACATGTGTATATATATATATATATATATATATATATATATATATATATATATGCATATGAGTGCGCGCGTGCGTTCATCCCCCCCCCCCCCCACCCCACACACACCCAAAAAAAAAACGGCACGAAAAAGCACTAAAGGCATGGACAAAAGAGACACGGCAAAAAAATACATACACAACAAAAACATTGAAAAAAAAACGCGGCAAGGTACGAACACGGCATGAAAAAAACTCAAAACGGCATGAAAAAAGCACGAAAAAAACACAAAAGGCACAAACAAAGACACGACAAAACACAAACAGGCACGAAGAAATGCTAAAAACACAGAACGGCACGACAAAGGCACGAAAAAGCACGATAATACACACAAAAAATACTGAAAAAAAACACGAGACGGCACGGAAAAGGCACGAACAAGCACGGAACAGGCGCGAAACAAGGCA